TGCCGCCTTTAAAACACACCATATTAATCCCCTTGTGACTCTACTCTATACTGCAGAATTACAATCATTAGCACTCTCAAAGCTGGTGGATGTTTGTGGATTAATTTGCATTTTAATGTCAGTTGTGATTATGGATGAGCACTAAAACTTCCTAAAATAACTTAAAAGGTGGTTTTTATATTTGTACATTATTAATTAATTTATTTATTATTATTATTATTCATATTATTTATCATTTTATTATTTATTTTTATGTATTATTATTATTATTCTTATTATTATCTATTATTATTATTATATTAGTTATGATTCGATATTTATAATTTATAATTATTATTGTATTATTATTTATTATATATTAATGATATTAATTATATGTATTATTTATTATTATTATTATTATTATTATTTATTTATTATTATTTATTATTATTTATTAGGTATTAGGTATAATTTATGATTTATAATTTATTATTACTATTATTATTATTATTTATTTATTATCATTTCTCATCTATTATTTATTATTATTATTTAAATTTGATTAATTAATATTATTGCGGAAAACTATTATTATTTTACAATATGATTTCGAATGAAGAAAAGCAAACATGCAAACAGTAATGAAATAAAACAAGGCATTTATTTGAACAGTTAATAGTTTTTCATCATAAATGTAACAAACAAAACAAAATGATCCTCTTCTGCAAGTTCCTCGTCCTCCCCTGCAAAAAATAAAGACCATTGTTTGAATTCCTCATTTTAAATTCTGCTTTATAAACAATACGCATTACCTAAAATGAAAGCATTATGTTGGGAAAATCCTGAATGTCCTCTTCCAGTATGAGACCCTGATCACAAAGGTATCCCAACTGTAGCTGTGAACATGACAGGATGTGTGATTACCTAGAAGAGCATCAGGACTGTTTGAGGCATATGATAGCTATGTGATTAACATGATGATTCAGCCTCTATGGAGAGAGACATATGACAAGCATGCTCATTTCTGACGTGGAGCTAATCTGAAGTAAACATTGAATACTGCTTTCTATTCCTCCATCTTTGGACTGTGGAACTCCCTCTCTTGGATATCAGCATGTAAAGGACACTGTTTGATATTTTGAGTAAAAAATCAGGATTTCGACATCTTGAGAAAAAAAGACAGCATTTTGAGATTTTGACAAAAAGTCCGAATATTTTTGAAAAAGTCAGAATTTTTAGATTTTTAGAAAAAAGTCAGAATTTTGAGATCTTGAGAAAAAATACATCATTTTGAGAAAAAATACATTATTTTGAGAAAAAGTCATCATTTTCAGATTTTGAGAGAAAGTCAAAATGTATACATTTTGAGAAAAATACAGAATTTTGAGAAAAAGTTAAAAAAAATTGATTTTGAGAATAAGTCAGAATTTTGAAAGAAAGTAAGGATTTTGAGAGAAATTCTGAATTTTTGGAAAAATTCTGAATTTTGAGATTTTGAGAGAAATTCTGAATTTTGAGAGAAAGTCAGAATTTTTTTTATTTTCAGAAAAAAGCCAACATTTTGAGAAAAAAACTCAGTGTTTTGTACATGACAAAGAACCGGTATTCCTCCACGTAGAAACTGTGGAACTCCCTCTCTTGGATATCAGCATGTGAAGGACACTGTTTGAGATTTTGAGTAAAAAGTCAGGATTTTTAGATTTTGAGAGAAATTCAGGATTTTTAGAAAAAGTCAGAATGTTGATATTTTGAGAAAAACGACAGAATTTTGACATTTTTAGAAAAACGACAGAAAGGCATAATTTTGAGAGAAAATCCGAATTTTGAGAAAAAGTAATACAAAAAAATGATTTTGAGAAAAAGTAAAAAAAAAATGATTTTGAGAAAAAAGTCAGAATTTTGAGAAAAAGTCAGAATTTTGAGAAAAAGTTAGAATTTTGAGAGTTTGAAAAAAATGACGAATTTTGAGGAAAAAGTTAAAGGAAAAAATAATTTGAGAAAAAAGTCAGAATTTTGAGAAAAGGACAGAATTTTGAGAGAAAGTCAGAATTTTGAGAGTTTTGTTCATGACAGGATGTATGATTATAGAAGAACCGGCATTCCTCCATTGTGACTGTGTAACTCCCTCTCTTGGATATCAGCATGTGAAGGACACTGTTCAGGAACTAGTTGATGCTCTGTATGTGATGACTACTTCCATTCTGGAGAGGATCACAAATACATGGATCCTGTTTTGAAGCTCAAGCCGGTGACATTTCTCTAACTCAATATAACTCACTGAGTTGTCTTCACACCACGGTGCAGGATCGAGGCTCTCTGAAGGGGTTGCTCCCCGTGGGGACCCCGACCAGAAGCGCGTCTTTAGATGCGTTCTGCAGACAAAACTGTTGCAGCTCCGCAGCCGCCTGCGACACCTACACAAATACACAACAAATATACAAGTACTTTTAAATTCTGATATCCAGAGGTGGGAAGAAGTGGAGTACAAATACTTTGTTACTGAACATTTTTCTTGTATCAGTACTCGACTCCACTACTTATTTTTCTGACGACTTTTTACTTTGACTTCTTACATGTTGAACACTAATTCCTGTACTTTCTACTTCTTACATGTTGAACACAAATACCTGTACTTTCTACTTCTTACATGTTGAACACTAATACCTGTACTTTCTACTTCTTACATGTTGAACACAAATACCTGTACTTTCTACTTCTTACATGTTGAACACTAATACCTGTACTTTCTACTTCTTACATGTTGAACCCAAATACCTGTACTTTCTACTTCTTACATTTTGAACCAAGATACCTGTACTTTCTACTTCTTACATGTTGAACCCAAATACCTGTACTTTCTACTTCTTACATTTTGAACTCCAATACCTGTACTTTCTACTTCTCACATTTTGAACCCAAACACCTGTACTTTCTACTTCTTACATGTTGAACCCAAACACCTGTACTTTCTACTTCTTACATGTTGAACCCAAACACCTGTACTTTCTACTTCTTACATGTTGAACCCAAACACCTGTACTTTCTACTTCTTACATGTTAAACACAAATACCTGTACTTTCTACTTGTTACATTCTGGTAATTTAGTACTAATAAGTACTCAGATCTACTTAGTAAAAGTAGAAGTACTCAGATCTCGTACTTGAGTAAAAGTAGAAGTACCAGAGTGTAGGAATACTCTGTTTCAGTAAAAGTCCTGCATTCAAAATGTTCCTCAAGTAAAAGTAGAAAAGTATTATCATCAAAATATAGTGAAAGTAGCGACAGTAAAAGTAGTGATTGTGCAGATTGGTCCATTTCAGAATAATATATATGATATGATGTATAATGATTGATCATGAAAGTGTTCTCAAGTACTTTTGAAATCCTGATATCTTATGAAACAAAAAGATCAGACGAATCCATCGACACCAAGCATGTCTGAATCGCTTGTTGGGAACTTCCAATAAAGAAAGTCCGAAGTATAAAAAATAAGAAATAAAAAAAGCCCTTAACAATTAAAAAAGTTTCCAAATAATTGTCTGTAATTGGTTCGGCTCTGCTTGTAATATCAGGTGGTTTAATATATAACAAGTGTCATATTTTATAAGCAATTTGCATGTTTTGTATGCAATAAATGTGTTGTGAAAGACAGGATTAAAAGCTAAAAGCATAAGACATTTTTACCAAAGAAAAAACATTAATTTGCGGACAAAACGACAGATTATTAAGAATTATTTAGTGCAAAAAACACATTTGACACTTGTTGTATTAGGTAAATGTATTTTTAACTGTTTAATTGATAAATAATATGCAACAGAATGGAAAAATGGAAAATGGAAATATAACAAAATAGGGAAAATAGGGCTAAAACATTCTGTATGAATGACTGTGCTGTAAGAAGATAAGAAAATGGGGAAAAAATGAATATATTGTATAAAATAAAAGCAGAAACAAACGGTGAAGTGTTGAATCGATACAGTGTAAATTAGGTTAAGTTAAGAAAACCCAAAGTAAACTCTTTTCTCCGTCTGTACCTTGATTCTCTCCACGCTCGCCTCCAGCTTCAGTTGCTCCACGAGGCGTCTCATGTTGGATACATTGGAATTCGAGGTCATGTTGCTGGAGATGTTTTAGGGCAGAGTGAGAGAGTTGTTCTTTGTAAAAAATGAAAGAAAAGGAAAGTACGTCCCGTTCAGTCTTTCCACACCGGAGCTGAGTGCACAGAAAGAAAAGGAAGCAGGAAGAGAGGAAGTGTCTCTTTCCAAACAACCTCCAACGAGGAAACAAGGAGACAAGGAAGCACACTGACCTCTAAATACCTTCTTTACTTCTGTGAAATGATACAGGATTCTGACGTTACAGCATTTCTGTCTCTACTTATATCAGTATGTAGTGTCTCTAATTTAAAGAGTCCTCTCATGCTGATGTTCAGGTGTATATCAGTATGTAGTGTCTCTACTTTAAAGAGTCCTCTCCTGCTGATGTTCAGGTGTATATCAGTATGTAGTGTCTCTACTTTAAAGAGTCCTCTCCTGCTGATGTTCAGGTGTATATCAGTATGTAGTGTCTCTACTTTAAAGAGTCCTCTCCTGCCGATGTTCAGGTGTATATCAGTATGTAGTGTCTCTACTTTAAAGAGTCCTCTCCTGCTGATGTTCAGGTGTATATCAGTATGTAGTGCAGGGCTATTCAATTAGTTTAGAATGGGGGCCGGTTGATGAAAATGATCCAAAGCAAGCGGGCCGGGAAAAAGATGGCTTGAAATATGAGCAATCATATTAAGAGCTTCAGATACAGTGAATACTACAACAGCATAGTGGAGTGCATATTGTGTTTAATTACATCAAACAATATAGCTCCAAGGCCTTTCTAGATCTAAATTGTTTGATGTAATTAAACACAATATGCACTCCACTATGCTGTTGTAGTATTCACTGTATCTGAAGCTCTNCCTGCTGGCAAGGAGAGTTATTGCCACTCACGCATGCACAGTTCGTACGTGCTCGGCTGAAGTCTTTACGGTGTGTTCCAGTGCGACACATGGCCAAGACGCAGGAGAATACGCCAACGCAACAGTCGGCGTGTTCTCTGGTGACTGCTTGGTGTGTCAGGGCCTTTACGGAGCCTACACACGGCGGCGTGCGTTGCCGCTTCAACGCTTCTGCCCATTTACTTTGAATGGGGTGACGTCACGATTCGCCGAACTGCATTCTGGGAGCAATGCTTCTCTCGCGGTGCTCTCTGCAAAAGTAGAGCAATGTTCTACTTTTGCCGCCTCGACGGAGGCGTCAGACAATCGAATCATATGCCAGTACAAGCTCTAGCCAATCAAACCGCGTGCTTGTGTGTCTGGGGCGGGACATTCATGTGATTGGTTGTTGGTCGAGTTTCAGCCCCCCCCGCCGGCAAGCGACAACGCAAGCCACCGTTTGTAGGCTCCGTTACGGTACGGTACGCTGGGTACGTCCACACAGCAGCTGGGCGTGTCTGGCGCGTGACCAACAACCAATCAAATTAATCTCCCGCCCCGCTAGAGCTAGAGCTTGTACTGGCATATGATTTGATTGGCTGGCGCTTCCGTCGACGCTTGAAAAGTTGAACTTTTTTCTCAACTTTCGAAGCGAGCAAAGCAGAGGCAAAGCAGAGGCAAAGCGACGCGTGGGAACCACTGACAGCCAGTCATGATGGATAATCTGTGACGTTTTGCTCTCTCAAAAGTTGGGCCATTGCCCAATGAGCAGCTCTCATAGGAAAGAACGACACCCCGCCTCCATGGTTGAAACACGCAACGCTGCCGTGTGGACGGGCCGTTAACCTACCTGGTGATACATTTGTTTCTGATTCTAAACTACAATACTAAAATATCTGTTTTTATTGATTATATTGTGTTGGTTTGTGCTATTTTGTTTTTTGTTTTGTGTACCTTTGAAAGGCGCTTTTATAAATAAAGTGTATTATTATTATTACAATAGGAAATAAGTTGAAATATAATATTTTTCAAGAATAAAACCAAGTATTTACACCAAATTTAAATATACAAAAAATACAAAAAAATTAGTCTATAATGAAAATAATATTTGAATTTTTTTACAAATGTTTATAAAAAAACGATATTGTTTTGCTGAGATTTTTTTAAATGCATCTCTGAAAAACAAATGCCTGTTATTTTGAGATGAATAACTTAAACTTAAAAATAACTTGAAGGATAAAATATAATTAACTGACCCATTATCAAGGACTAAATATAGAAAATAAAAGGTTTAAATCATATTTATCCTGCTATATGTTTTTCGTGTTGAGATAATGACATAAATCAATTGTGATCATATGAAAAAACAACACTTTAACTCATTAAAAACACCAAAAGACGGAGGAAAAGATGAGGAAATAAAATGCCATTATGACAAAATAAGAGGTTAACAGCAGTCACGACACATTTCAGTGTGTTTAGCTCATATTTCAGCGGAGGTGTGTGTGTGTGCGTCTCTTACCTTCCTGCGGTGTTTACCTGTCTGCAGGTAAGCTCCTTACAGCTGATCCGGGGTCTACTTTATCATCCATGTGTTCACGGGTCAGCTGTTCTAATGATAGTACTGCGCGTCTGCAACTTCCGGCAGCAAGCTTGGCGCATGCGCAGAGCAAACGAGCGTTTTCTTAAAGAGGACACTACAGGTAAATGAGGTTAAGAACGATAGATATTAAACTTTGACAGGTAATTACTATAGACTGTAAATACAGGTAATTACTTATACCAAGAACATATGTTTGGGAAATTAAATGTGGTATGTTTTAATATAAAAACGGGGTAATATCTCGTTAAATCTGTGTTTAATGGGTATATATATATTTATTTATTTTTTACTTCTTTTTTTTAATTTTTAATGCTATTTTATTTCTATTTCAGAAATATTTTGGACTGTTTATTTCTTGTGTCTTCATTTCTCTAATGTACATTGTCTTGTTTTTGATGGTGCTGCAACGCAAACATTTCCCAAATTGGGATCAATAAAGTACTTCTTATCTATCTAAAAATAGATATATATCTGAAAATCAGCAGGAGAGGACTCTTTAAAGTAGAGACACTACATACTGATATACACCTGAACATCAGCAGGAGAGGACTCTTTAAAGTAGAGACACTACATACTGATATACACCTGAACATCAGCAGGAGAGGACTCTTTAAAGTAGAGACACTACATACTGATATACACCTGAACATCAGCAGGAGAGGACTCTTTAAAGTAGAGACACTACATACTGATATACACCTGAACATCAGCAGGAGAGGACTCTTTAAAGTAGAGACACTACATACTGATATACACCTGAACATCAGCAGGAGAGGACTCTTTAAAGTAGAGACACTACATCAGGGCTATTCAATTGGCGGCCCGCGGGCCAAATCCGGCCCCGGGGTGATATTTACTGGCCCTTTGAGTATAATGTTAAAAGTAATCTACTTTTTATTTTTTAAAGATTCTTTTTTGGCCAGAGTGCCTTTATTCCAGAG